CAAAGTCACCTACTATGGATTGGCCACAGAATTAGTTTGGAAATTTGGAATTAGAATACCATTTTTATTCAAATCTTTATTTTTTCTAGAGAAATTCAAATCTTTATCATATTTGTATTATAGCATAGAACTGAAATTTTGATTACCCTGAAGCTAAGAGTTGACAAAATGTGATATTTCTGTGAAGAAACAAATATCTTGACTTGAAAGTTTGGCCTCGCATCACTAGACTGCAGCATTTCCATCGTTAGACCACTTTGTCGCTGCATAAATTTTTTTAAATATTGTCCCTAAACATATTTATAAGGTAGAATCATAGGAAGTTATTATTTCCTTTGAGGCCACTGCATAAAAGCCAAATGACTTGTACCAACCATCGCAAAATGCTGAAAAGTAGAGGTTTTCAGTTGATAGCTTAACTGGTGGAGCCCGTTCATGTTTTCAACATCTTAACTGTAATAAGTTAGGTAGGGGCTCCTTAGAGGAAGGTCATTCAAATGAATCCAAGCCCCATGTCATGGTATCATGGGAAATCTACTGCCAAGGGATATATACACACACACACATATACCTATGTGTATATATATATATATATATATATATATATATATATAAATTACAATTCAGTTGACGCCTTCAAAAGCATACAAGCGAGAGTTTGTTATCAATTGAGTATGACTACAGAAGATGAGCAGCAGTCATTGTATGTGTCACTATACACTTTGCATTGCACCGATGTTCTAGTGGATACTACCTAACTTGATGGGGTAAAATATTGGGTTGTATTCTTTTCTACATATTGTTATTTAGGCCTCCTATAACTAATTAAAGATGGCATGATAATTTGGACTGATTTGTTTCAATCTCATTGGAAATTCTTTAAAGAGTAAATTTCTTTTGTCTTGTAATAGAATTTTCTTTGTTTTGTGATTAAAATTATATGTTCCCTTAGGATCATGTTATAAGATTTTGATTAATAGTTTGAGCTCGTTAAAAGAGAACTCAAACATATCCTTAATTAAAGCACTTAAGAAACTTAGAAACAAATTTTCAGCATATCCCTTACTTAAGATTGCTATTCTCCTTTCATAGAAGAGATTGAGAGAAAAGATAGCAGCTGCTAAAAATAATAACTTCTCTGCTTGGAAGTAACTACCCTTACATCCTAAAAAGTAGAAGCTACCTCCATAATTATCCTAATAACTAACTACGTTATTAAATAAAACTAGGCAGATAATAATCTCCATTCCACCAGACATTTTGTCATCCCAACAGCCATGTGCAAATCACTCCAGCAACCATGCATAAATCAATCTCAACAGTCATGTGACTGATAACAGCATTCCAAATAAATTTCACAAATTAGTTCATTTGTTCAAAACAATATCCTTAAACAAATAAACAAGGATTTCTATTAAAAGGAGAGCACATCCCTCAAAAGTTCTTCAATAGTTTCTTTCCACAAGACTCAAAAAGTTATTCAAAACGAGATATCATTGTAATGTTTAAATTCAAGCATCCAAATGAAAGAGAAGATGCTATTTACTTACAAGTTGCCAACGAGAGAGAGAACAGGAACTAAAAAGGGAAGAAGAAGAGCATACCTTATCATTCACATTTGCACCTTTCAACCTCTGAGTATGGATATACCGACCAGGGAAAACGACATATTGGCGAGATCCAATCTAATCAAAAGGACAGTGTTTTTATAAGAGATCGGATACCAAATTAGTGGAAACTGTGTTAGGTTCATTTGGGGGTACTACAACATTACAATATAAATAAAAAGAAAGCAACTTTATCAACATCTCAAAACACATATAAGAACAACATTATTAAGGCTATGTTTCAAAATTTGTGTGTAATTCATTAATAAATTCTCAATTATTTTAGTTAGAAGATTTACATGGGACGAGAATTCAAATTATATTAGAACTGAGCATGCATTAACTTGGAATCCATATAAGTCAATTATTATATAATGGATTAACCTAGCTAGAAAATGTATCAAACAGTTGGGAGTATAAAATGCTGTCTCACCATAACAACCGCAAAAATCTCTTCGCGCTTCGGCTG